CGTCCAACACATCTTCTGACCAACACAACTTCTGACAACACAACTTCTAACAAACACAACTTCTGACCAACACAACTTCTAACAACACAACTTCCGACAACACAACTTCTGACAACACAACTTCTGACAACACAACTTCTGACCAACTCAACTTCTGACAACACAACTTCTGACAACATAACTTCTGACCAACACAACTTCTGACCAATACAACTTCTGACAACACAACTTCTGACAACATAACTTATGACAACATAATTTCTAACCAACACAGCTTCTACCATCAAAACTTCTACTTTTTACTAATCCAACACAACTTCTAAACAACACAGCTTCTACCATCAAAACTTCTACTTTTTACTAAATCCAACGTAACTTCTAACCAACACAGCTTATACCATAAGAACTTCTACTTTTTACTAATCCAACTATTTTAATTCTTAGCCTGATATCAACCTAACTAAGAACAGTACGACTAACTCTATCCCGAAATTAATTCATTGTTCTAAAACAACAACACCTTATATCCTCCACGCAAAATTCTGCGTCTTTCTTCCCTGTAATATTCTGCGTTTTTATTCCCTGCATGTCACTACGGGATTCATACCTAAAGCCCTAAAACTTAATATAATCATGAAAATTCATCACCTATAATCATCCTATAATACTACATCGATCAAACAACGTCATGACATCATTATTCATCTAAAATTCATCAATTCTCATCATACAACAATCATATATTTTCAATTCACGAATAAGACAACAATCACCTCTAACCCCACATACCAATCATCATAAACCCAATTATGGAGTTAGAACCCCACCCTTACCATGGATTGAAGGTCGCTCTACAATTTTCGGTTGAATTCTCGTTCTTGCCATTTTTCCACTTTTTCCAGCAGCTTGCACGTTCTCCTCTCAATCCTTATTCTTCTACTGCTTCTTTCTTTCTATTCTTTCTAACAACAATAAAATAAACCTATTATTCTTTATTCCTTATTGGGATTAAAACTAATACACCCCTTATTACTTTTATTCCTTTAAAAATAAGCCCACATCAAATAATATTATACTTCTAATATTATTTCACCACTTAATAAAATAATTAAATCCAATTAATTATAACACAACTTCACAAATATTCCAAAAATAATTTAATTAAATAATTAATTAAATTACAGGCATTACATAGAAGACGTTCCACTTCTAGTTAACTCAGACTCAGTCAAAAAATACTACGCATAAAAAGACATGCTAAGTCGAAAACTCGAAAGGGAGGCTTAGGCAAATATTAGGGATAAAAAGAAAGAAAAAAGTATAATCTGCTAAGTTGAAAAACAGAAAGGGCAGATTAGGCAAAAATGGGTATCCCGGTGGATTGAAAACCCGAAAGGGCGATCCAGGAAAAAATTAGGGACTAAAAGCGAGAGGCTGCAGTCTGAAAACTCTTCATGAACAATAGTATACATTCCTGACAGTGGATGGATAAATTCGACTACTACTCTACAGAAGCAAAGCATTAGGATGATCAAGGATACAAGAACTATAACAATATCAGTTTTAATGGAAGTTTGGGATTTTCTTATTGCCATTTTACCTGTTGTATTTTGTATTTTCTTTACAACTACGTCATTTAGGAGTTGTTTCCATGTACGGATGCCTACTCACAGGCTAATCTCATTAATAAAATTGCATTTTCACCAAAAAAATTTCTTTGTTATCTCTTTTTACTTTATTCTTCGTATGCAAATTGTGATTTAAATTCTTTATTAAACATTGTGTTGAAAATAATAAGGTAATAATAATCACAAGCGAAGACATGAAACACGATGTTACATTGACATGAAGGCATCCCAAAGGAGTGCCATGGCATTCAAATGTTGTTTTTCTATGTAGGTAGTAAGTCGTAACAGTCACCTCGACCTAGCTTATGTCATTGTCGCCCCCTGGAGACGATTGAGCACACGATTTTCCAACATTGAGGCAACTTAGGGCATTCTAGGAGATCTATTTATCTACCTAGCCATCCACAAGCCGTCTAGGATGTAGGGAAAGTCAGATTAAGCTACTCCTCCCTAACAAGATTACAATATCTCTCCCTAGTAAGACTATAACTCAATTCTCGAGTTTTCAAGCACCAATCCGTATTGGTATCTCAAAGACAATGGGCAACGGACCCCGATAAGCCTAATGTTTGGCACTCTGCATATAGTAATCATCACTGCATATTACATTGCATCCTCAAAAGTGTATCATATCGATTGAAATATATCATTACGCCATACACTTCAAAATGCATATGAAGCATAAGCCAGATTTGGTACATTGCATAAAATCCCAAATCAATCCTCAAAATAGTAATACATCCCCACAGAGAATGCCATCCTCATAATTCCCAATTGACATCCATCATTACATTACAAACCAAAATAGCCACAGTGCCAGTACATTATACTCCTAACTCTCAATACTCTTTGTCAATCTTTTCTTGGGTCACAAATATTACCCTCTAGTTATCTTTTCTTGGGTTGCGGGTCGTCCACAGATCTTACCATCTAGTTATATTTTCTTGGGTCGCAGATCGTCTACAGATCTTACCCTCATGTCAATCTTTTCTTAGGTCACAGATCGTCCATAAATCTTACCCTCTAGTTACCTTTATTTTTGGGTCGTGAATCCTACGCGATAGATCCCCCGCTACCATTGATTTTACCCATTGTCTTTACCTTTCTTTTTGGGTCGTGAATTCTACACGATAAATCCTCCATTGTCGTCAATTTTACCCATTGTCTTTACATTTCTTTTTGGGTAGCGAATCGTCCATAATAAATTCTCAGTTGTCGTTGATTATACCCGTTGTCTTTACCTTTTTTTTTGGGTTACAAATCATACACGAAAGATCATCCACTGTCGTTGATTTTACCCGTTGTCTTTACCTTTCTTTTTGTGTTGCTAATCCTACACGATAGATCCTCCGTTGTCTTTGATTTTACCCGTTGTCTTTACCTTTCTTTTTGGGTCACAAATTCTACACGATAGATCCTTCACTTTTGTCAATTTTACCCGTTGTCTTTACCTTTCTTTTTGGGTCACGAATCCTGCACGATAGATTTTCCGCTGTCGTCGATTTTACCCATTGTCTTTACCTTTCTATTTGGGTCACAAATCCTACACGACATATTCTCTGTTGTCATAGATTTTACCCATTGTCTTTAAGTTATCATGCTATCATTGATCCTACTTTTAGTCACCACGTTATCACCAATCATATATTTTTAATCACTATAACACCCACTTCTGAAAGAACCTTGTATTGGCACTGTTACCCCGTTACAAGCTATCACTACTCAACCACATTTATCCATCATAACCAGTTCACCAGAAAATGAATTTTCTTTCCCCAACAGATATCACAAATAAATAACACTTACACCATATCTCCAGGACAACCTTCGGTCTTGGTATTTAAACTTTTTTCACCTTGAATGTTCGAAAGACTAGTGCCAGTCTCATCCTTAGGTTTAAAATGATTAAATAGGGGAAGCTGTCATACCCCAAATTTGTCCTACCCTTTTTACTTTTTAGTTAGCTTAAGCTTTTCATGTCATCTGCATACATTCTACTAGATTCATCTGTATGATGCATATTCATCCATAAAACATCTTGGTTCAAAAGAATTGGTGCTCGTGCAAGCTAGGGTTTTTCAGTGGTTTGAGACTTCTACATTCAATAAAGTTAATTTCCTTGGTCCTCCCTTGAGCAATAGACTGCGGAATTAGTTTTTGAAATATAGTTATCATGGATTTATTTCTCATTAAGTTATGAGGCCAGCTCTCATTCAAACTCATTAAATCTTGTATTAGGGTTTGTCTCCCTATTGTGATCAGAATCAGGGTTTCTCAGCATTATGCCTCAACTAGGATTTTGAATCCCTCAAGTGTTCAATGTGGCTAATCATTGGTTCTCAAAGGCAACTTCATCAATGCATAGTCTCTAACCTCAAAGCACAATCAAGATTTCATCATCATTAGTCCATAATATGCACCAATGTATCTGGGAATGCAAGAAAAGATTGAGTTTGTAAATAGATTCAAAGCACATTGATCAAAAAGTCAACATTTTTGAGATCAAGTTTAGAAGATCATAACTTATTTGATATTCAAAATTTCTAGGTGATTCTTTGAGCATTTGGTTCGTTTTGACATTCTCTCTAACTTATCTTTACAAGTCAAGGGATAATTATATGCGCAAGATCATTAAAAGTTCGATTACTTTAGAGGATGGTTCTTTTTGCAACATATCACAAATGATGTCGTCTATAAGTTTTCTTCAAGGATCGATAACAAAATATGCTTAGAAAGCCATGAATTTTGTAGGAACATTTTAGACTTATAATTGATTTTTGTGTCAATATTATTCATCACTAAGTTAAGGGTAAAGGAAAGATGTTGAGTTTTAAGATTCATTAATTAATTATTACTTGTTGCTCGTATTCGAGCATTATTAATTACTGAATTAAAATTGGATTTTGATCAAGTCTCTTAAGGTTTTTATTTGTTCATCAAGATTTGGTTCAAGAAAGAAGGTTTAGGCATTTTTACTTGGAATGCACTTCAAGGTTCAAACATCATTCATGAAATCCAACTTCATTTAATTTCAAATTCTAGAAGATACAAAAGACATTCATGTATTATTTGACTAAAATTGTTATTCAAGATTTCCAACAAAGTTCATCATGATTCATTCAAAGGATCCAGCTTTAGGTTTTATTCGAGATTCATTCTCTCTGCATTTTCTACACTATTTTGTTTCAAGGTTCATGACGAACATACATTACCATTCATGTCTCATTATTAAACCGTACACAAACACATGAACTCCTAAGTCCTAAAGTGCTAAAATTACATGTTATCACCATATGAAATCTTCATGACATATCAACTTGGTGTCTTGCCCAAAATTGTGCTTTGCATTCTTCATGCTAAACCACAACAATGCTACAAAGCCCCACAAACCAGTCCAAAATCTGTGCCATAACCTGTGCCAAAATAGCCTGCTACAACAAGCCAAAATCTACATAAAACAAACCTGTCCACAAACCACCAAAACAACCTTGGAATGCTACTTGTACCAGTCCAAATCCTACTGTCTAAAACCCTGTTATTGTTGCGTAGACCCTGCTCCATAAACCAGTCCCTATCCCAAATAAAATCAGCCTTATATCATATTGTCCAACTTGCTAAACAGTCCAAAAACATGTCAAAAGCTTGCTGCCCATAAACAAATATAACAGTCCAAGAACTTGTTGCTACTGCTATCCCAAACCAGTCCAAATGCTGCTTTCCAACCTGTTGCAACCTTGCACAAAAATAGGGAAAGAAAATTGTATCAAAAAGCCACAAGACAGTTAACCAAAAGTGTTCAAATTCATCCCATCCCCGCCCCCCAAACTCCCATAAATCTGCCTATATAACAATCCTTATACACACCATAAAAGAGAAAGAAAAGTGTTAGGAAATGCTGCAGAAAACTTACTCAAAATTTTCTCCAAAGCTTCAACATACATAAAATTCTGCTCAAAACCGAAATCCACCACTCACCACTATCCTCTTCAAACTTCATACAACCTTCACACAATCCTCAACCATCCTTAGACCTCATAACCATCCTACAAATCTCCTCACACCATAGACTATAGAAGCTTAAACAACTTTCGCCAAACCCCCCTTGGGAATCATCCTATAACTCAACTCAAAGCCCTAACTTCACTCTCTGAACTCCCTGTACACAAAAAATTTCCGCTCAAAATATTCATAACCCATGTTTGCATACCCACAGATACCAATTCATAAACTACAACAAAAATAACAAAACTGAAACACAGTGAACAAGCAAAGACGTTACTTGAACTGTCTAATTGAGGCACATCATCAACTTCGTTTTCAAATATCTAAACTTAAGTAATTCGAGCGCATCAAAACACAACAACATTCATCTTCACAAGTAGTTGCTAAAATGCAATAACATTGATAACATAAGACAAACAATAGACATAACACCATAGAGAAGCTTTCACGCAAGACTGAAGGAAGAAGAAGAGGGGAAAATAGTTCAAAACGGGAAGCAGAAAGGGAGAATATGAATTCACCTATTCCTCACGTTGCTGGAAAGTGTTGGAGAAAATCTTGTATCTGATTCGGTATGTCCTCTCATTCTTTTGCATTTTTATTCATACCACAATGTTCACTATGTATCCCTGATCGAAAACCCATGGTTACTTGCACCGATCTTTACCATTGCCATTTAATATTAGTAGGAATGTTTAGGTTTTTTTAGTTTGATTCAAAAATATATGAAAATGTTGAGGTTACTATGATTTTAAGGGTCAGATTCAGGTTCAGGAGAAGGAGGCCACGCGATTCTTTCAGTATTAGGGTTTTCTTTTACAATAAATATTTTAGCATTACAATTGGGCTTCCTTTAACCAGACCCATTTTCATTAAATCCCATTTATCCATTTGTTTAGTTTCTTTTATTTTTCTGTTTAGCCTATTAACAAGTCAAGCATATTGGTTGTGTTGGTAAAACTTAAGAGTTTCAAACTAATGGTTCCGGATTCAATACTGATAAGGACCATTTTTGGTTTTCTTTCCCATCTCCCTTGTTTTATCTTCTTAATTTTATTCATATCATTGTTTTAATTTGGTTTAATTTCTTCTTTGAAAACAAGAAAAATATTAGAGTTTTAATTGTTTTACTTTATTTTATTTACTTAATAAAAATCATAAAAAAATGTTCAGTACTTAATTTCTTTACTTTTGTTTGATTGCTTGGTTAATCTTGATAACATGTCCCCTTAGGAATCCTATGAAGCGATTAAATTCATTTTCGATCGTTTTAGTGTTGAAAAGAACTTTAGAATCAATCATTTGCATGATAACATTAGGATAGACTTTCCCCTTAGATTTTTCTCTTGCATTGAATATTTCCTAATTAAAACTAAATTTCTTTCCTTGATAAAAAACCAAAAACACTTATCATTACTCAAACCCATTTCACATTTAACAAAAACACACAACAAATTCAAAATCCTCAAAAGGGCATGTTATCTCCCTTCTACCGCGATACAGGCCGTGCCTATTGCTAGAACGCGTGTGCTAATGTCACCCACTAAAAAACACCAACAAACCAACATTTTCTAAAAGAAATACGGTGTTGTGATTCCTTCACAGGATACGTAGGCAAAGGGTTGCGAGACCCTCACGAATGCACTAATATAAACCATTTCATTTCCCTTAGCAAGTATAGTTTTAGATAGACACACCCTTAGAAACAAACAATCGAAATGGATCCCGTTGAGTACAACGGATGTGAGGGGTTGCTAATACTTTCCCCTTGCATAATCGACTTCGGTACGCTCTCTTTTGGTTGCAAGACCATCTTATCCATCCTCTTCGGGATAAATAAAGTTCGGTGGCGACTCTGTGTTTTTTGTCGGTTGCTTCACACTATTCATAGCATCGATGTATGACGTGAGCTACGAACGAACTGGGGACTAGAAATGGCAGGGTTGATTACAGACCCTCTATTCTCCTTATGCCTTCTTTGAGGACTTATCAATGGGGAAGGGGAATGGGACGCCTTCTTTGAGATCTTTGACACAAATGATAAACACACAAAATTTCCTTCATTGAGGACTTTAAACAAGTAAGTACAAGTAGGAATTGCCTTCTAAAGGTCTTTCAAAATAGCATTGCCCACCTAAAGTAGGGACTCCCAGTCATGCATCTCTATTCCTACTTCTCATGGCAAGGAAAGCGATAAATGATCATGCATCTCTATTCCTACTTCTCATGGTAAGGAAAGTGGAAAACAATGCAAAGTGCTATATACAATAGCAAATACCAAATAAATATCAATTTGTAATAAAGCTCAGTGAGTGTAAAAAATCTGAAAAACTTCGAGCAAGCTAGCATCAACAACAAAATAGTCAGAATATGAGCCGAAGCATCATGTGAAAATAAATCCCAAATGGAATGTGTAGAAGACACATCCAAAAATGTCAATCAATAAAATTGCACAAACACAAGTCCAGACAAACAAACAACAATATATACATATCATAGAATGAGACTCACAATCAATCGCATAGAAAGCAAAATCGAACCACAAAGAAGTGGAAAAATTTGTTTCAATCGACCAACCAAGAATCAATTAACCGATTGAAAACTCTCTTGAAAAAGCCTAGCACAAGTACACTAATAAGTGAAAACTGTAGCTATTTTTGTATATACTTTTTGTTGCACTTATCGACTTATTATTGTTAATATCGGTTGAATAAACCCGACTTTTGTGTAAGTATGTTTATTTTGTGTTTATTTCTCCTTTTGTGTACATAGTATACCTGTAACATGGTGGGAGAACTGACTTGGGATGTTTTGCGTTTGATCGCAATTGTTGCGGTTAGCAAGAGTCACCACCGACTTTTCTTTTATCCAATGAAGGAAAGGGTGAAAAGAACAGGAAAGACCTTTGAGATTATTTTCTTGAGTTCGGGGGGTAGATTATGAATAGGGAAGGTGTTAGCACCCTTTTCATCCATAGTTATCTATGGGCTCTTAGTTGCTTGCTAGATCATTGCTTTTGTTTGAAAATGTGCTTTGTGGTGGTTTTTGAAAGTATTTGTGAAAAATGCCTTCGTTTAGACAAACTTTACAATGATTCTTGTCTTTACAAGAATGTATACAAAGTGTTGGAATTTTGAAAATATTTCATGTTTCGAAAGTGTTTAGTGTGTGTTTGGAAAGATGTTTGTTTTTGAAAATGAGCAAGTAACTAAGAACGTTTCTACCCACTCAAAGGTATTTTGTTCTTCTCCTCATTCTTTAGATGTTGCTATCTTACCATTGATCGGTAAGAAGCCTTATCTTTGGATGTAAAAGGGACGAGCGTGGGTCATCGTAGAGTCATGATAGCAATGTTATGAGATGTCTTAGCATTTCTCTTGAGGGACTAAGATCATTCATAAGGCAACATTCATAGCGTCATCGAGGGACTATGATCTTGTATTTTGATTGTTCTTGCTAAGACATCCCACATGCATAACATAACCATTTTTAGACAACAAGTGGAGTTAATCCTTGGGGTGCATGTGTGAACAGTGTGTTTGATTTGCACGCATTTAGTCTTTGATTAAGGTTGTCTACTTATTAGATTTGATCTTGCCATACACACCCTAATTACTAGCATTTATTTGAAAGCGATAAATTGCAGAAAGTAAATATTCTATGCTATTACAATCATTAGGGGGATAGGGTGTACAAATTTACAAATGGGGATTGCAAGAAATTAAAGTCATAATTATCTATTACAACCATATTGAAATAATGCACAAGAAATGTAAAACAAACTTTTTTTGTTTTTGTTAAGAGAAGAAATGAATTGGCTTAAGAAAATATTTTTAGTATTTTGGTTTTAAAAGCAATAAAGCAAAGTGTATAAATATAAAAATATTTTTGATGTTTTTAATTAATGAAAATAGAAGTGATATTAAAAATAATAAAAGGGAAAAGAATCAGAATCAGCGCATTGCTGAAAGAACAAAAGTAAGGGGCATAAACTCAGACTCTGATGCACTGTAAATCAGAAAGAAAATGTTAGCGGAAATAGGGAAGGCCAGTGGTTCTGGATCCGAGGGCACTAAAGTTATGGGGTTGCTGGGAACAAAGGAAAACCTAGAGGTTCTGATTGCTGAGGGAGTCTAGAAGTTCTAATGTCACTGGTTGGTCAGAAGTTCTGATTGTTTGAGAGAGCTTAGAGGTTCTAATACAACGGGAAACCTAGAAGTTCTGATAGTGGGCAAGTGAAGTGTCAATGCTGTTGGGTGAGAATATCTAGAAATTATGGTCTAGGATCAATGTTTTGACAAGCAAATAAAGGGTATTGATCTAGAAGCTCTGGTCCAACTAATGGGATAAAAATGTTAGGAGACAAACATAAAAAAGGTGTTTCTGGGGCTAGAACTCAGGACCCTTAACACTAACGTCTTATGCACACGCTCTCTACCACTGGGTTGGCCATACATCCGGTCTTAGAAGAAAAAACATAAAAACATATTACAAAGCAAGCTCTGATGACGAATTTCGTCTCCTTATCCATGCCAGTCAGAGTATATGTAGCTTATCCATTTCTCAACAAAACAGAAAATGCAAACATAGCAGTTATGGCAGGTTTCATCATGGTTTCAGAAATATAAAGTATCAGAACTGCAAATCAGAAGCAAGCATGAATTTTTCTAATCCTAATTCTGAATCCTAATTTTCTCAAGAAGTTCTGAACTGAAATTCTCTCTACTTAGGCAAAAATACATGAAATCTATGAATATGTACAGAATCAGAGTCAGGATGTCTACATTGTAATTTTTTGAAAATGCAACCTAACAATGCTTAGGTAATATAATGAGAGTCAGCAGAAGTTTACCTTGCAGCTGGAATATGTTCTATGAACTAGAGCCTGGTTCTGATTGCTGTGATGTTCTGGTCAACTTCCTTCAATCCTTAGAAAGCTAGAACAAACCTTAACTTGAACTATGAATGGTTGGAACGTTCTGGATCAGCCAAGAA